CTGCTTTTATCAATCCAGGCTGCGTATAAACCCTCCGTCTTCGCTCGCTTAGAGCAGAAGTTTCACGTTCGAGAAACGTTTTCCTTTCCCCTGTTACCTCGTCTTTTGTAAACAAGTACTTTAAAGTCCTTACTGAAGCTCACAGAAACCCTTTTGCTCTTGTTTTGAAATCTAACCCCCTGGTATACTTTGGAGGATTGAATGTGTAGAGTTCCCAGTGTTAGTTTGCTCTGCGAGCTCAGCCTTAAGAGATGTTAAGGATAATAAACTTAAAATAACTTCTTGTTCCTCAGGAGGCTGCATAACTTACAGTAAAATGTTCTGGAGCTGAATTTCAGAGTGACCTTAACTCTTTCTGAAGAGTAAAAGTTAACTCTTTCTGGAGTAAAAACGCTCTTAACTTGCTCCGTTGCTGTCAGTCCTGCACGTCTCGGGCTGTCCGTGCTCAAACCCTGATTGATGGCTCGCGAAGTGGCGTGGGAGGAAGGTGGCATCCCCAGCTCGGTGTCCTGCCCCGTGCTACCCTCCTTTTTGGACACTGAGGAGTTGAGCGGCAGAGAGCTTGGCTGCAGCCGGTGTCGTGCTCGTCTCGGCTGTCACAGCAGTCGAGAAGCCTCTTGGGTTGGGAATTCTGTGCACACCCCCCGCCCCTTGCACACCCTTATTAACAAATACAGGTTCAGTGGGCTGAGCTGTTGGGGAATGATGCTCTGCAGGGCTCAACTACAATTTTCCTTCTCTAACGTGGCTTTCCAAACTTCCCTTGTAGTACATTACCTCCAGCAACAACAACACGCCCATCCAAGGGTTTTACATCTATTACCGGCCTACGGACAGCGACAATGACAGCGACTACAAGCGGGACATCGTGGAAGGTAGGGCGCAGCGTACGCCTGCTCGCTACTGCTACGCATGGGGAGGAATGTTGTGCAGCCACGCTGGCCGTGTTTGTACGAAATCTAAACTGTTTTGCCCAAACTAAGCCTTGACGATATATTTCATAGAAGTAGCTATCTCGGCGACAGAACGTCAAGTGCTGCCCACACAGGAACTTGTTTCTTCCTTCTGAAGCTTTTCTGCGTGGAAACTTCAGAACTAAGTACCGGGTTTAGGTTTGTCTGGTTATACTGCTGCAGATCCTTAACGTAGATGTAGTGAAACTGGTTGAGCTTCAAGCCCTGGGGTAAAGGGAAAGCGACGTGAATGAGGTGTAACCCGGGTGGTGAGCCCATCTGTGTTACAGACTGCGCTCACGACTTACTAGCTTGCACGATGATTTACACCAGCACAGTTTTTCTAGGCGAGGCAATACTCTGTGTAATCACCCTTCTCTCCTCTTACCTTGCTTAATTGCTTATCCTGCTACAAGGAAGTTACTTTTAGCCTCAACTGCTGTAGTACAGGTATGTTGGTGCTTTGTTTTGCCTCTTAATCAGGTGATACTTTTTTCCCTGTGCATATTAGATCATCGTTTTCCTGGAAGAAGTTCTTAGATAATGTCTATATTAGTCCAGAAGTGGAAAGCTCTTTTAAAAACATTTTACTTCATGCCCTTATTGCTTGGGCTGAGTAAACGTAGTGATCTCATCCCGTCCCGATGACGTTAATTATTTTTTCCCCTCATTTATTTCAGTTACAAGAGGAGTGGGCCTTTATTTTGAAAACTTTCCCTTGCTGGGCAGTACTCCGCACAGTACTTTGATGCATGACATAAGCTTTTGCACACTAAAGCTACTAGAGATCCAGAGTTTCGGCTCCGAGGGTTGCTTTAAAGAAGCTTTTACAGTCTGCACCTTCAGCTGCAAATGGGTTTTAGCCTTTGCGAGGCAGAGCTTGGGTGTTTATAAACCTTCCACGCTAAGGAGTTGTGTAAGTGGGCTCCACTCTGCTGTGAAATCAGATTGTTTCTGATTTGGGTTTTTTTTTTTTTTTGGAGGGAGGGATGTGTGTATTGAACTCTTTGTGGCAGTCTGAAACCATTAGCAGCTGCTCTGCTCTGCCAAAGCCTGGAACAGAAACTCATTTGGTGGAAATATTTAAACTTCAGCTTTTTTTTTTTTTTACCGTGCTCTCCTAAATTAGCTTTTCAGGGGGGAAAAAAAGGGAGCTATTTTCAATTAAAGTGAGATTGGAAGTATTTGATGTGAAATATGTAGGGAACCACCTGACTTAAGGTATTTTTGCCATACATCACTTGGCCTTCACTTTCCCCCTTCCCCCCCTAAGTTAACTTTGAATTAATCTGTCTGTTTTTTGACAGGGAATTTTATCTTGAAATGACTGCTTGAGCTGTGGAAAGTGTTGTGATGCCTGTATTAGCGAAGTACTTGCCGTAGGCTTTCCTTCCCGCTTCCTGTTAAGTCTTGTCTTTCGAGACATTCAAACCTCTGCAGAAAACTTGGGGTAGTTTTTCCTTCCAAATGCTGCTACAGGCAAACTCAGGTTTTATTTCAAGAAAGGAAACCAGCAAAAAGCTTGACTCGGGTGGCTCCTCGCTACCTTTCAGCAGCTTTACACAAAAGCAGAGCAAAATCAGCCCTGTCCTGCCCCGACGGGTCTGAATTCCTCTTTGGAGTGTCCCAGGTTGAGTTGGAAGTGCGCATGTCGTCTGATGTCAGTTGTTTAAATGTTTTTCCTTGCTAATGGTGCATGAAGGGGACAGTTAAAGTGCCTGTACTGATTCCAGTTCCACTAATGGTTTGAAGCGGAAACTAAAACCTGGTGCGGTAATTACCGAAAGGAATGCTTGGGGGTGGGGGCGACAGGAAAACCGAGCATGAATCTTGGGAAAACGTGCCGTTTAGGGCAAGGCCCCTTCCAGCTTCAGCTGGGGCTTCTCTACCCTCACTTGGGACGCCCGGCATGCGAGGGATGGAGCTCAGCCTGCGCAGTGCATCCCCTTCCCAAGCCCTCCACCCGAGATGGGGTCCTCCTGGGTCCCCCCCATCCTTTTTCTCCGGGCCTGGGTCCTGGAGAAATCCGAACAGAGCCATGGTGACAGCCCCCACTAGCCGAGCAGGCTTTATTTTTGTTATTAATGCTTAAATCAGTAGGTGGTATGACAGTTTCTTAGAAACAGTGGAAACAGTTCAAGGTGGTATTTTCCACGAGGGATTAAGAGCACTCAAACAGTTAATTAAACTCCCAGGGAAAAAAAAAAAAGTGGTGGCTGTTTATTAAAATTTGTCACAAGCCCGTGAAAGTAAAAACTGGGAGTGATTTATATCGAAGGGCTCGGTACTTCAGGAGGGTGTCTAAATGAAACGCTGGCCGGGAGCCAGAGATGACAAAACCGTCCTATTAGAGAAGATTGCTTGGCTCGGGGTCTGGCTCCGCAGGGGCAGGCAGCACGGGAGACGGTCCCGCTCTCCAGTTCTGTTCCTAGTCGGTCGCATGAAACACACGTTCGATTACTTGCGCTGACAGCGAAGCTGAGGGACCCAGATGCAGCCTTCCCGTGAAAAACAGTGCAGTCTGGACCTGGCATCCCTAGGGATCCTGCGGGATTGCAGGCTGGGAGAGGGTCTTCGTGCAGCGAGGTTTCCCCTTGTCCCGAGTTGAATCCATTCTCTGGGCCAGTTTTCCCTTGTTATTTGCCCTCTGCTGTGTGCCACTAGCAAAGGAAAGCTTGTCCTCTAAAAAGAGGTTTGCTGTGGAACATTTTGGGGTAGAAGAGAGCGCTTTCGTATTTGAGATACACAGAAATGTTGTTGTTTTAAACGTGCAGATGCTGGAAACTTGCATGGCTCTTTTATTGAGTTTGGTGACTGCTGGTTTTTTGTAGAGAAAGGTGTTTAAAATAAAAAAATCAGTCAAATACTTTTAGAAAAACCCAACCAACCAACCAAAAACCCAAAAAAAACCCCAAAACATTTTTACCCATCAAAAGTTAGTTCTGAAAACCTGTTTCACAAGGCAGAGGGAGCATTGTGATTCAGGTAAGCCCATAAATTGTTAACCAAGATTTCTGTGCTTGCAGGAGAAGCGGCATCACCCCTGTGTTTGAGAGACACCCCATGCCACGCTCCTACCTGACTGAAATGCAGTGGATTTGTTTCCTCCCCGTAGGTACGAAGCAGTGGCACTTGATAAACCACCTGCAGCCCGAAACCTCTTACGACATCAAAATGCAGTGCTACAACGAGGGCGGGGAGAGCGAGTACAGCAACGTGATGATCTGCGAAACCAAAGGTGAGCGCCGCGAGAGCGCGCCCGCCCGCGGGACGGCGCGAAGGTGGCGTCTTGCGGCGCAGAAATGTCCCCCCTGCTGAAGTGTGTTTGGTTTGCTGCGGCGCAGGAGTCAGCTGTGGTGGAGACTGGGGATTTTCTGGAATGTTATGGAGGATTGTTTTGTCTTCCGAGGCTGGGAGTGTTTTGAACATATGGAAGCTGATATGTTGCACTCCCGGGAAAGGCTCTTAGCAAAGCTCCGCAGATTTGCCCGTCCTAAGAGATAATATTGTTGTTCTGGGTTGGGTTTTTATTTGCTGTGCTGATAGCCTCTCCTCAGGAGACAACCGTGCTCTTGAAGATGACAGAATTGATTTGTACGTCTGGTTTATGTCTTCGGGGCTCTGTGACATGTTGTGTAAGTGCAGACCGCAGCAATTGATGGTTGGGTTGGCTGCCTCCGTCGCTAATCCTGCATGCCTCTGGCACCAAGTTTGCACTGTTCTCTGGAAGTGTCAGATACGGCGGGCCCGTTTATTTTGAGGAGGATTCCTGTCTCTTTTAATCTCTAAAACCAAGTAAGGCTGTAAAGGGGAAAAGCAGACAGTAAACTTCCAATGTAGTGCTATCAAAAAAATGGGGTTTAAGAGGGGAAAAAAAAAGCCCTCTAGGAGCGGAAGCATCAGAACTTAGCGAAGTTAGTTGCAAAGCCTTTGCAAGAAGGGCCAGGAGCTGCAGGGCCTTAAGGCTGCGTGCACAAAGTCTTTCTCCTGCAGGGACTTCCTTCCCCGATTTTAAAACTGGCAAGACTTAAACTGTCGTTTCTACTGACTCTTCCTTCATAGAATCACAGAATCACGGA